AAAGTCTTAACACTGGAGTTTATAGGGATTGACTCCCCTTAGGAATGGCAAGTTAACAAAGGTTAAACTTTGTCTTAAAAGCTTTTAGGATCTAATTTACACATTAATACAGAAATACACAAAAGGGTGAAGAAAATCACAAATATACTAGGGCTTTCCCCTCTTTGGTTCAGTTACCAAAATAAGGAACCAAACAACAGAGACGAGTAGCAAACAGTTGATTTAATCATCTGAATCATACAACAATGATTTCATCTTAAAGGTTTAAAATGCAGAACAAGTCAATACAAACTCATGCAAAGCTTCACTGCAATGGCTGAAGAAGAAAAACTGAGAGCAAACGACTCGTAATGAAAGCTCATGCTCGGGCGCTTCAGTGTCCGCCTAACAAAAGCACATCGTTAAAAAAAACACAGCAGGACTTGGAGAGTACTTTGTCCTCAATGTTGCCCTGAAATAAAATGCTGCACAGATTAAAATATGGAAGAGAAAGGAGCTCCATGTGACCTCTGACCTCATCAGAGGAAGAATAATGTGAGATTTGATCAAATGGAAGCGGCTGTGCTTAAAAGGTCAAAGTACCATTAATAATAATCATTTAAAAAAAAAAACCACATCTTACTACCTGCATCTGTGTTGCTATCTTACTTAAAGGTTTATCGCTCAACTGGGAGGAGAATCTACACAGTGAGCATCTGGAAGGACATCCAGAATACCTGCTGAGCCTCCTGCCACCACAGCCTGAATTCAGATAAATGGAAGATAAAGGATGGAGGGCCCTTTAAGTCTTATCCAGGTGCTTGATGAGCGAATCACTCATTGCATTTTTTTAAATTGACAGGTGTCGCGCAGTAGAAGACATCAAAACAGGAAGGAGTGTGGAGTTTTTTTTTCCATAATGTGATCTGAATCCCTCCACTCCCTTGGTGGCAGTACTTATTGCAAGTTCTACTTCCCCACATCGGACTCTGTGTTCCACAAATCTACTTTTTATTCCCTAAACCTGGAGCAGACTTCTCTCTGAGATTTGGGTTCCTTAAAAACTGCCAAATAAATCTAACATGAACACTGATTAACATATATATTAACATGTTCTCCGTTTAAGATCTAATAAACCTGAAAATAAAATTAGATTTTGTTTCTACAATCTGCTTTACATTTTATCAATGTCCATCTTCTGCAAGTGGATACACTAAGAGCCTTTATTGTGAAAGGCAGGAACAGGAAGAAGCCCTTTTTGCGCATGTGAAGAAAAAAATGGAGCTTCTGGTTTAGATCAGGCAGCAACAACCAGATCTCTAAGGTATTTAAGGTAAACGATAAACAAGCTGTTTAGTTCTGTTTTCTGATCAGATCTTCTCACTAAAACAGAAAAATCAGCATCTGACTGAGGTCAGAGGTCAGGGTTCGGGGAAAGCTTCCGTCGCCTGGGGGGTGGGATTATTAAGACTCGACCTCACAGTCTGTGCAGAACTCACACTCACACATTCACTCACATGAACAGTTCATGCTGTAATAAATAAAAACATCCAGAGCATCTATAAAGTCCAACGTTAGAATATATATATTTATATATGTTTCTATATGTGGCTGTGTTTAAATATATTTATAAGTAGCTTTGATAGAATCATGTACATTTCAAAAGAAGCAGAGCTCCATTCAAAAGTGCTGCAGCTGAAATCAAACATTCACACGTCCCTTCGATCCCTCATATAAAAAAACCCCAAAATGACAAACAGCAGTGAATTATGGGACAAAAAAAAAACGAAAAAACACTTGGATGTGGGCTCACTGTGCCCTGAGCTGTGCCTCCCAGGAGGCAGCTTTCTCAGTGTGCTTCCTTGTGAAAACAAAGCGCTCTTCCTTAACTTCAGGTCCATGTCTCTGACTCATCTGCTGTTGATTGTTATGGAAAGGAAAAATCGAACTGCAGACCTGATAGAGGATGAATTTCAATCTGGCAGTGTGAGGAAGCAGTTTTGACTGAAGGTTTTTATTCACCGCACTTTACTGAAAATAATCAATAAATAAATATAAAGGTAAACAAATGCAGTGCGGTCAATATGCAAAAGAAACCTCACCAAGTAATCTGAGGATTGTTTTTTTTCTGCTTGATTCATTTTATTACAAAAACGGTTCATTTTTTTCTGTCAGTGAACTCGCTGATCGGTTCAATTCCTGATATCGTCTTCAGTTTGTAAATATAGACTGAAAGCTCAATGATTGTCCTGTCAGATGAGGAGTAAGAAAAGACCGCCAGAATCTCACTACAAGACACTGCTCAGGGCAAAGAAGCGAGCCCACGGAGGCTGAGCTGCTTACGAACGGAGCGCTTCAAGCTGCAGACAGACAGCTACATTCAACAGGAGAGAAGACATAGATCGATAGATAGATAGATAGATAGATCAGTAGATAGATAGAGTTGGCGTGGGGTAAGGCATCTCTCCGTTACTGTCCTTCTCTCCATCTGTCGTTTCCTCGTTTGGTTTTTCTCTTTGTATACATCAAACTAAACCTGCTGAACCTTCTCGTTCCCGCCATCATCCCTCTCTCCGCTGGAGGAGAGGAAAAAAGGTTGAAATGGTTTAGGTGGTCAGTCCTCTCCTCTCCAGCTCCCTCGTCTGTTTCAGCTCTTTGATCCTGTAAAAATATATTTAAAACTCAATTCGAGCTGACAGAAAAAATATCATTAAAATTTTAAAATTCCTCCTGTTACCTGTGTCTGCAGCGCCGCAGAAACCTCATGATCTTGCGGGCTGCCTGGTCCTGTTTCTTTGTCAGAAACGACCCCCTTAATGACAACGAGAAAAGAAAACATCTGGCATCAGTGTGAGTCTCTAAACCTCACAACTTCAGAGATCTATCCGGATTACTAACTCAAACGAAACCCTTATCTTAAAGTTTAAATTGGGCCCTCTGTGGTCACTTTGATCAATTATTCTCTGCTCTCTGGCTCTTTACCCACGTGCTCTAAACAGCAGATATTCAACCTCTGCTAAGAACTACACACCACAGACAAGCTACAGACCCATTTTGAAACTTCCCATCATTACAGAAATATTAGAAAAAAGCTGTTTGGTCACAAGTAAGTAAGGCACTTGAGACGCGTAATATTCTTGATAACTTTCACTCCACAGGAACAGCTCTCCTTAAAGTCACAAATGACCTTCTGATGCCGCGGATACAGGTCACTGCAAGGCTTTCAACTCACACTCAAAGTCTCACATATCGCTCCACTGTTAGTTGCAATGGCTTGTGGTTAGCTACAGATATCAGTTTAAAATCCTCACTCTTACTTTTATGGCCTTAAAAATACATCACACAAAAATAACATAACTTGAGTTCCCTGTAAAGCACTTTGTAGCACATTCTCTTCTTAAAAAGTGCTACATTAATAAATGGGACTTACTTAAAAATGAGGAACTAAGGCTGCTATGGCTACGTCCACAAGTACACGGGTATTTTTGAAAACTGAGATTTTCCATTTCCGTTTTAAAAAATAATCCCGTCCACACGTAAAGGCAGAAATGAAGGAAAACGCTGCTAGGAACATGCCAAAGCAGCAGGTAGCGCTATATTCCTAACCGTGCAGAATGTCGGCCAATCAGAAGTCTAGAAGCCTCGGTGGGAAAAAGTAAACAAAGCTGGGGCATAGAAGCAGAACCGAGTCGTATGTGTGGAGGGACAGTAACTGTGTGTATATGTAAGCATTTAAACACTGCAGAGAGAACAATTAACAGTAACAGTATTGTAGAAATTCATTTCACCGAAACAATAACGTGGCGCACAGTGTGACGTCAAAAAAGGCGCACACCTTTGACGCTGCGTTTTCTGCGTTTTTCTCGTCCACACGTAAAAGCAAAAACTGTGTTTTCAAAAATATCCACCCTGGCCGGAGTTTTTAAAAATCTCTGCTTTCAGTGACAAAAAACGCCGTTTACGTGTGGACGAAAGGTGCAAACGCATAGAAAAATCTGCGTTTTCAAAAATACCCGGGTACGTGTGGACGTAGCCTAAATCTGTGTTTCAATGCAGAGGCTTATTTAAAGAGAACTTTTACATTAAGCTTCATTGTTGACATGAAGGCAGCACAGCAACGGATCTTCTCCAGAAAAACTTGAGGGAACAAAGGGAACAAATTATATTTAGAGAAGATTTTGAAAGTTATTTTCTTGTGTGGAACAACATATGTCCAGATGTTCAACACGTTGGTGAATATCCCAAAGGAGCAAGTTATTATCATGATGGGACAAATGATCTTGTTGTGGGAAAACAAATTATTTTTCTGCAGACGACAGAAAGAAGACAACAACTTGTTCCCTCAAGTTTTTATCCTGAGGGAACAAATGACCTTTTTGAAGGAAAAAGTTGTCTTGACTGAAGTTATTAACCTGTTTTAAAGAATGATTTATTTAAGGGCTAAGTTGTATTTCTTGAAGGAACAAATTCATATTCAGAAGGAACGAGGAGAAACTTGTTTATTGTGTTGAGAGAACAAATTTTTATCTTGTGGGAAAAGATAAAAATTTCCTTGTTTTCTTGAGGGAACAATTTGTAATCAGAAACTTTTTTTCCTTTTAGGAAACTATTATACTTAAGAGTATGGAAGAAGCCACCGTCTTAACTTGTCATTACTACATTATTTTTGTGGGCAGAAATGAATCTTGTGTCAGGAGTGATAAGGTCTTACTTGATCTTGGAGTTGTGGGTGGCGGTGCCTCTTGGTGCCTGTTTGAGCCTCTCATACTCCTTGTAGCTGCGGTAGTACTGCTGGATGAGGACGGCGGCCCGCCGGCTCTGCTGGAAACGCTTCTGCTCGTAGTACGACCTGAACTTGGACTGGATCAAGATGGCTGCCTGGGTCATCTTCTTATAGAGAGCGTACTGAGGGGGCAAACGGGGTGTTAGAGTTCGTACAGAAGAAACAGTGTTTAGAGAAACTGACGGAGAGATGATCCATCATCCGTTTTCTGTTTGATGTCGTCACTCTGGTGTACCTCAGTTCAAGACTCTTTATAAATCTGACTTTCTTTTTGTTTTACTGAGTGCTCTCAGCACCAACTCGCTAACGGAGATTTGCCGCATTAATGCGGTTATGGCGTTAACATCATTTTAACGCGATTAACGCTGACAGCACTCGTTTTGTTTTCCATTTCGCCTCTGAGCAGAGTTTAACAATGTTTTTTAAGATGTTCATGTTGGGCATAAACTGGATTCAATCTCAGTTTTGCTTTCACAGTAATAGTAAAAGTTTATCCCACTATGAACTCAATATCTCGATGAACATAACTTGCTGGGACTAGGGATGGGTACCGGTATGGCACCGGTTCTGACATAAACGGTAGTAACCAGACCGAAAAGCAGCGCACATTTCGGTGCTTTTTTTT